ATATATATATAGATAGATAGATAGATAGATAGATAGATAGATAGATAGATAGATATCTTTTTTTTAGTGGAACACTAGTTTGAGGATTGCATATAAATAACAAATCTAGCTTGATAACAACAGGAATAAATTATTAAATAAAAAAACATAATCTCGTAATTACTAATATGATCTTCTAAAAATTGGATAATATTTGTTGATAAAAAGCATCTCTTTCTTGCGTTAATAATGAAGCGAATCATTACAAATAAATCATAGTTCTGAAGTACTATTTAACCCACGTAACTTAAAAACATAATTAAAACAAAAATATAAAACATTTTTATTATACGAAGTGTTCGCCTTTAATCTCTCATTTAACCCAATTTATAGCTTAGAATGTTTCAGTTTTTTGTAGGCAACGAGGGAAAAAAATTTCCATCAGAAAATTTCTAAAAGTATACGTTTAAGTGGTCCTGTTTATGACTACTCACTCGCTCGATATTTCAGTCTAATGTTGCCAAAGTGTAAACGAAAATTCATCTTTATTTTAAACAAGCTACATGCATATGCATTACATTTTTATGTAATACAGAGTGGCCAAATAGTCCCTTGAATCCTCCAATACAATCATCATCATCATCTGCTATTAAGCAAGAAGACATTATCTTTTGCAGTTTTCCTCACTTTCAGCTCATTATCCCAGGGTTTCGCGCTTTTCAATGTCATTTCTACTAAATTTATCAATTTAGATAATATTTGAAACATTTCCATGTTCTTAAATAGTCAGATTTTTATACAATCGTAAGCCTGTTTAATGTATGCAAACAACTGGTACAGACTGATGTTTTTTAACTAGTAAAAGTTATAAATTATTTGAGCATTTAGATTTTTAAATTAGTTTTGAAAAGAAACTAACTTTTTTTTCTTCATTTCATTCAAAATAATGAATTGTGATGATAAATAAATTTTAATTTTTTTTTCTCTTTCGAATAAAAATATCTATTAATTTGATCAGCTGACTCAATATATTTTTTACTTCAAAGCTTTACCAATTCATTAGAATTCGAATAGAAAATGTTTATTGTTTTCCATCGATTGTTTTATTGCAATATTGCTTTTTTTATTGTCTGAAATTTATGCACCGTGCAAAACAAAACCTTATATGGAGATTGTCATGGAAACAATGATCCATTCGTTACCTCATCAATGTGTTCCCCAGAATGAAAATTTTAAATTCCTTTAAGAGAATTTAAACAATAGTTCGTTTAAAAAGGACGCTTTCATACATTCATTTCAAGAAACGGCTGAAATAGAATATATTTAAAAGTTTATTATAAATAAACGATTTAATAACAATGATTTTCTTGGATTAAGAGGGCTGCACAGTCGAAAAACGTTGGAAACAACTCAACTCGAAGTGGTTAGGTCCTATAGGTTATAAGAATAAACTTAGTTTTTGACAAAGTTTTATTTAGACAACTGTTCAAAATTAGTACTTGAACAAAAATAGGCCACACAGGAATAGTGTGACAATTATTTAAATGATCATCAATTTAATGAATCACATTCGAATGTTTTTGAAGCTATGTTTGACTGGAAATTATTGAAACTTTTTAAAAATTTATGTTAATTTATAAATTATTAAAAAGTAATATTTTAATTTACAAATTCTGAAACTGAATGTTAAGAACACAGAAACAGAAAATAGACCACAAATGAATAGTGTGACAATTATTTGAGAGATCATCAATTTAATGTATCACATTCGAATGTTTTTGACGCTATGTTTGACTGGAAATTATTTAAACTTTTTAAAAATTTGTGTTAATTTATAAATTATTAATAAGGAATATTTTAATTTACAAATTCTGAAACAGAACGTATTAAGATAGGTTGCTGGGTTAATTTTAAAAAAAAGATGTAAATAAATCTATTTGTATCATTTGGAATAGTTTCCTAGTTTAAAAATATTCACGATCTAAAATTTCATTGTTATTAGACATTAAGATATCTATAGCTCCTTTCTCATAATGTAAAATTTTTGTAATTTTCTTCTTCAACTGTTATGTAATAATATAAAAAGTAATTTTAAATGCCTTTTTAATCTAACAGAACATGAAAAGTAGAAATATATTTAATTTGATCTTGGCATTTACTTAGTATCAATATTTTTATTTTATTTTATAACCGTGGTTGATTTATATCCGTTATCGTTGATTTATGTTATATTATATCGTTGATTTATAACCGCCAACCCCATTTTTGAGTTTACAACTACCTATGTTCAACTCCGTAGCCTTGTAATTTTGAACCCAATCCAGATAACAAGGGAACTCCTGGATCAAGTATTGGGGGAAATGTGCCTTCCTGGAGGACTTTTTGTTGGAACTAACTCGCATTAGCCTTTCGTGGAAAGGAAAACCATAAAAACCTCCTACGGTTAGTCTGACGGGAAGGGGACTCTAACTCATGATCCATCTACTACTGAGGATATTTTACATTAGTACTGTGGTTAGTGCGAACCGAGTGTGGAATTCCTATCAAGCAGATATCGCTAGGATTTCAACCCGGGTCACCTTATTGGGAGGCGAGTGCTCTATCCCTTCAACCACCACGGCTCTAGAAACAATATTTTATTTTATAACCGTCGTTGAGCAGCCGACCCAATTTTATAGATTTACGACTACTAATGTTCAGCTTCGTAGCTTTGTAGTTTTGAACCCAATCCCGAAGACAAGGAAACTCCTGGATCGAGCATTAGGAGAAATTTGCCTTCGTGGAGGACTTTTTGATGGAGCCAATCCGCATTTGAGTCACACTGAGAGGAAGACCACGAGAACCTCTCACGGTTAGCCTGACTGCAAGGGGACTCTAACCCATGATCCGTCTACCACTGAGGATATTTCACGTCAGCACTGTGGTCGGTGCAAGCCGGATGTGGAATTCGTATTGACTGGGATTCGAACCCGGTTCACCTTATTGGAAGGCGAACCCCTGATCCATCTCCTGAGCCATCGCGGCTCCTAGTAACAGTATTAATACTTTCGTGGGAAATTTTAATTGAGCCAGAGTCGGAGCAGAGCTCTGAGGAAAGTACCGGCTCTTAACAGGACGCTATACCGCTGGAAAAAACAACTCATGATAAATTTTTTTCCCAACTATATTAGTCATTTAAAATTAAATCACGAAAAAAAAATGATTTCAGGTAAACAAAGAGTTTCAAATGCTAAAAATGATTTTTTTTTTATCAATTTAGAAAATTGTTAAACAAATTACGAAAGGAATAGTCACAGAGAAGGAAAGTAATCCTGTCACAACTTGATATTTTGAAAAATAAACTTTCAGTATTTAAAAACTTCATAGTTTGTTTTCTACTTATCTGAACTCATTTTTTCTCTATAATTTTAAAATAGCTGAAAGAGAATTTGCATTGAAGTGTTTCTCCCTCAGTACAGCGTCCTTTTCAAGAAACAGAATTGCCTCAAATCAGTGGGAAAAATAGAAAACTTAATAACTTTTGATCTAAAGATCGGGTTGTCGTGTACCGAGATCTAATCTTTATCGTATTTAGGGCTAAACCTAAATATGCTATATGTGCAGAAGATACAAAATCCTACTTTCTCTAAATAAGCAACCAAATATTAGCCACCATCAGGAAAGTTTAGAAAAGCGGCTCCGACAGTTTGGGCGCGGTTTGACATTAATTTAATTTTTTTTTACTATGAAAAAAGTAGAATTTTTAAATTATCGTTTCTCAAGAGATATTTGTTTGATTTTTTTTTTCAAATTTTATTTAAATCAAAATAAATTTTAGCTCAGATTTTGTAATTTGTTTTTTAAACTTACATAATAAACACGATAGTAAACTTACGATAATAAACGTCCCTAATTAATCCGCAATAATTCAAAAAAGTCTTTGACCAAAATTAAAGTAAAGTGATACAAAATAATAAATGATTCTAAATTTTTTTCTTTTTTTACATAGTCATTGTCATTGGATAAGCGAGTTTTATAATTGCGTTTTTGATTCGCTTGATTAGTTACGGAGTTAAAGCGAGATAAGCGAGAAGGTGACAACATTGCGGAGCTCTCTTAACTAAACTAGTGGAACAGTATTTCGTAAGAGTGCGGCTTTTCGTCATGTTTTGAGGGTCAGAATTATAAATCCGTGAAAAAACAGCATGTTTATTCAAAAAAAGAACGTTTTTTTTT